CAGAGAAAGAGACGGAAAGAGAGAAAGGCAGACGTTTGAAACTAGATCGATCCAGCTACCCGCGGAATCGATAACCCACGCACGGAATCGTGAAAACGCCTGACGATGGTCTTCTCATCGCACGCCGCGAGAGACAGAACCCGTTTCCACCCGGGGTACTTGTTGAGCCTGGAATTTCAATTCTCGTAATGGATTCCATCGATCGTTCCTGGGATCGTTCCGACGTTCCATTGAAAAATCCCTGTTGCCAGTTGACCGTCGGGCGTTTCTCGCTTCGAGTAGAGTAGCATTCGCGGATGGAACGAGGTTCATTTTCAGCGAAGACAGGAGGGAAGGAAGGGAAGAGAGAGAGAGAGAGAGAGAGAGAGAAAGTTGCGCGATTGCATTTTAAGGAAATCATAGGGGGGAGTTTGCATAGGTGGAGGCGAAGCGTGTGAATGTTGCAGGGGAATCGAATGAATTTTGCATGAGAGTGACGAACATTACGCACGTATGCGAAATTGGTACGCGAAAATTTTCAAGTTCCGATCACGCGGAAAGTTTTTCTTTTTTTTTCATTTTCCTTCTCTTTCTCTCATGCGAGTGGCAAAAGCGACGGAGTATCAGCGATATTTCTCGTCCTTTTTTGGCGTTTCTGACGTTCCCTTTTTGAATTAGTTTTTTTTCGTCGTCTTCTGAATATTTATTAAATCGAAGAAGGAAATTATATCTCTAAGTATTATATTAAGAATTCTGTAATGCAAGAGTAGGGGTAATTTTGTTTCGAAAAATTGTTGAAATTTGAACGTCTCCGGAAAGAACTGAAGAGTTTGTTTCGTGACTAGATCCGAATTCTTTTTTTTTTTTTTTTTATATGGTGTTCTTTGAATTTCGAATATTTGAATTAGACGACTAAATGTTCGGATTTCTCGAGTTCCAAGTCCCAAGTATTCCAAATTGAAAGGAAATTGAATTTGTGAAAAATTATTATAATAATAAACTACAAAGAATTAGACGAAAATGCGAAAAATTATAGGAAACTACAGGAAATTGCACAAAACTGCGGGAAATGCGCAGAGCTGTAGAAAACTGCTGCAAAACTACAGAATATAATAGTTTTCAAAACTTTGAATAAAATTCCCTACGAAACAATTTTCATCGCACGAGAAATCCCAACATTTCGTCGTCTAATTTCAATATTCGAAATCCAATGAAACGATAAAATTCAAAAAAAAAAAAAAAAAAATCAGCGAGTTCTAAAGGGACCTAAATCGTCAAAGATCACGACCACCGGAGAAAAATTCTTTCAATATCCTGAAGGATATGTTTGAATTTTGAGAATCTTCGAGAACAAAGGTATCTGTTGCGCGATTGAAAAAGATCGTCGTTGAAAAGAACCAACTCAAAAATCAAATCAAAGTGGAGACTTTGCTCTTTAAAATGGTACCAAATGAACACTGTCACACGATTTCTTCTTTTTTTTTTTTTTTT